GAACTAGATTTGGTGGACAGAGTGCCTGAAGAACTGTGGATGGAGGCTCGTAACATTGTCCAGGAGGCAGCAACAAAAAAAAACCATCCCAAAGAAAAGGAAATGCAAGAAAGCAAAGTGGCTGTCCAGAGAGGCCTTAGAAATAGCAGAGAAGGGAATGGAAACAAAATGCAAGGGAGATGGGGAATGTTACAGAAAATTGAATGCAGACTTCCAAAGAATAGCAAGGAGAGACAAGAGGGCCTTCTTAAATAAACTGTGCAAAGATATAGAGGAAAATAATAGAAATAGGAAAAACCAGAGATCTGTTTAAGAAAATTGGAGCTATTAAAGGAACCTTTTGTTCAAAGATGGACATGATAAAGGACAAAAATGGTAGGGACCTTACAGAAACAAAAAACATCAAGAAGAGGTGGCAAGAATACACAGAGGAATTATACCAGAAAGATCTGAATGTCCCGGACAATCCAGATAGTGCGGTTGCTGACCTTGAGCCAGACATCCTAGAGAATGAAGTCAAGTGGGCCTTAGAAAGCATGGCTAACAACAAGGCCAGTGGAGGTGATGGTATTCCAGTGGAACTATTTAAAATCTTAAAAAATGATGCTGTTAAGGTACTACACTTAATATGCCAGTAAGTTTCAAAAACTCAGCAGTGGCCAGAGGACTGGAAAAGATCAGTCTACATCCCAATCCCAAAGAAGGGCGGTGCCAAAAAATGCTCCAATTACCGTACAATTGCACTCATTTCACACACTAGCAAGGTTATACTCGAAATCCTACAAGGTAGGCTTCAGGGGGAGAGATGATCTGTCATTATGATTGATGGGTGTTGTTAACTGGTCTTTTTTGTGCAAATCATCTCTCCCCCTTATGACAACAATAGAATGACAACAAAAAACACACTGGTCACCATAATCACCCAGTCTCATGAAAACGACAAAAAGCTGATCCCACAGCTATAAATACAGTGGTGCCTCGCTTAGCAATCACTCCGTTGAGCAATGAAATCACTTAGCGATGGGGTTTTGGCCATCGCCAGAGCGATCGCTTAGCGATGGCCCCTATGGGGAAAAATCGCTTTACGATGATCATGGGGAAGCGATCATGGCAAAGCGACCCTTTTAAAACAGCTGATCAGCAGTTCCAAAATGGCTGCCGGAAAAACAAAATGGCCACCCGCTGTTTTGTCTCACTTTAGAGGCACCGAAAATGGCCGCCCCATGGAGGATCTTCACATAAGGTCAGTTTTGAAGCCCATAGGAACGCATTAAACACGTTTTAATACATGTCTATGGTCTTTTTAAAATCGCTTAGCAATTAAATCGCTTAGCAACATTTTTCCAGGAACGGATTAACATCGCTAAGCGAGGCACCACTGTACTCAACTATCCCACAAAACTGCACCAGAGCACAGAGAGAGTTCTGACTCCTTTCCTCTGAAGATGCCAGCCACTGAGACTGGCAAAATGTTAGGAAGAAAAACCTCAAGAACACGGCCAGGCAGCCCAAAAAAACTACAGCCATCAGATCCCAGCCGTGAAAGCCTTAAAGGATGTTAGAGACCTTGCACACTTCCACCTTCCATTTCATGATGCCCCTCAGATGCCTCAATAGGGTTTAGGTCTGGAGACATGCTTGGCCAGTCCATCACCTTTACCCTCAGCTTCTTTAGCAAGGCAGTGATCGTTTTGGATGTGTGTTTGGGGTCGTTGTCATGTTGGAATACTGCTCTGTGGCCCAGTCTCCGAAGGGAGGGGATCATGCTCTGCTTCAGTATGTCACAGTACATTTTGGCATTCATGGTTCCCCCAGTGAACTGTAATGGTCGCCATTGCACCCTTTCGCTGGACCACTGCAGCAGCAGAGGGGAGTGCCGAAATCCGGGATCGGGGGACAGGTATTTCTCTATGGCGACTTATGGCTAGTGTGCCCACAGGGCTCTGTGCGCCAGCTGTAGCATGCATGCCATAGGTTTGCCATCAATGACCTAGACCACCTTTATGTAGAGCAACAATGTGTTTTTTCAGATCCTCAGGTAGTTCATTACTATGAGGTGTCATGTGGTACTTCCAGTCTGAGAAAGCGGGAGTGATAGCACCTGCTCCCCCTTCACACCTGAGACTTCTGACATTAATGGGTCTCATGACACCAGGAAGGGAAAACGGCTCCTTGGGCCCAATTTGGACATTGTCACTTAGGGGTGTACAGTGGTGCCTCGCTTAACGATTGCCCCGCTGTACGATGAAATTGCTTGACAATTAGGTTTTTGCAATCACAAAACGATGTTTTAAATGGTTTTTTTCATTTAGCGATGATTGGTTCCCTGCTTTGGGAACGGATTTTCGCTTTACGACGATCAAAAACAGCTGATCGTTAGGTTTCAAAATGGCTGCCTGCTGCTTAAAACAGCTCCTGCTGTGTTTTTGGACGTATTCCTCGCCTTACAGGCAGCGAAAATGGCCGCCCCTATGGAAGATCTTCGCTGGACAGTGAGTTTTCAGCTCATTGGAATGCATTGATGGGTTTTCAGTGCGTTTCAATGGGCTTTTTTATTTCGCTTTACGACATTTTCGCTCTACAGTGATTTCGCTGGAATGAATTAACATCGTTAAGCGAGGCACTCACTTTTGTTGCCAGCGGTTTTTACATTAATGGCTGTGTGTTACATTATTTTGAGGGGACTGTTATACGAGCTGTATACTCACTGCTTTACCTTGTAGCCAAATGTCATTTCTTCAGTGTTGTCACATGAAAAGATATACTAAAATATTTATGAAATGTGAGGGGGTGTACTCACTTCTGTAATATACTGTATATAGTTACCTTTAGCTAGTATCTGACTGAATGTAATTGTTCTGTGCAAAGATCTTTCAACACATTTCTTATGTTATCTGAGTTTTTCCAACTGCTATTAAAGGTGATGCAATGACAACATCATTGTATTACATGTAATAATTAAACTTTATTGAAGTTTAATAAAGATCTGCAAAGGAGACATTGATTTATTGGTGTCACCATTCTTCAGTCTTGTTTGTACAGACATTTTGAATAAGAGCATGACACATCTTTAATACTGTACTTCTAAGATTTTTGCAGATCATGATCATATAGAAATGTAGAAAACATGTCTTGTACCAAATTAGATTCTTGCTCCATCTCGCTCAATAGTTTCTGACATGACCGGTAGCAGCTTTGCTGGCTTTCAAACATATCTTTTGTATGAAAACAGTTATCCAGTGAAAAGATGCATTATGTTTGATATGTGTATCAAAGAAGTAGTAATAGTAGTAGTAGTATTGTATAGTGAAAACCAAATTATTGTTCTTTCATCATCTTATTTTGTTTGTTTGTTCAATATAAAATATTTATATGCCACCTTTTGTTTAATGAATCGAAAGTGTCTTACAGTATTAAAAGAAACAAAGTTAAAACCAAGTCATAAATTATTATGATATTAAAGAAGGATTAAATCAATATCACACTTGTTGTTTAGTTGATTAGTCGTATCTGACTCTTCGTGACCCCATGGACCAGAGCACGCCAAACCTTCCTGTCTTCCACTGCCTCCTGGAATTTGGTCAAATTCATGTTGGTAGCTTTGATGATCCTGTCTAACCATCTCTGGCGTCCCCTTCTCCTCTTGCCTTCACACTTTCCCAACATCAGGGTCTTTTCCAGGGAGTCTTCTCTTCTCATGAGATGGCCAAAGTATTGGAGCCTCAGCTTCAGGATCTGTCCTTCCAGTGATCTTTCTTTCAATATCTCATTAAAACCCACAACAAGAACAATACTAAAAACATAACTAACACACAGAATAAAATGCTTCCATTAAAAAAAAAATCCCCTTAGTAAACCAGTCAGGCCTGCCTGAAGAGAAAGGTCTTGTGCAAGCAAAGATGGGGCCAGGCTAGCCTCCAATTGGAGGGTGTTCTAGAGTCTGAGAGCAGTGGCAGAGCAAGCTTTTTCTCATGTTCCCACCAAATGTACCTGTGGAGTGGTGGGACTGAGAAAAAGGCATTGCTGCTGTTCTTAATACCGCATAAAGGGAGATACAGTATGGTCTTTTACAAGTGATTTTATTTCTTGATATGTTGGCTTCTTAGTACAAGGTTGGTGAATGCAGGAAAGAAAGAAAAAATGTTAATATGTTTTGTTTTTATTTTTTCTTTGTAGTTGACCTACCACTATATTTTCCTCGGGACCAGCCAACTTTAACATTTCAGTCTGTATATCACTTCACTAACAGTGGAGAGCTGTATTCCCAGGCTCAGAAAAATTACCCCTATAGTCCACGATGGGATGGCAATGAGATGGCCAAAAGAGCAAAGTAAGTTGTGTGATAGTTGTATAGTCTGCTGTGTATTTAGTTGCTTGCTGTTCTAAAGTAGTTATGGGCCTATCAAATTTGACTGAAGAAAAGTGGGAAGAACGCAGCTGTAGCTACTTTCAGCATGCAAACACACCTATTCTGTTTCCCCAAAAATAAAACCTAACCTGAAAATAAGCCCTAGTATGATTTTTTCAGGGTGCTCGTAATATAAGCCCTAACCCCAAAATAAGCCCCAGCTAAGTGAAACCACGCCCTGCACTATTGTGCAGCATTGTGCAGCAACCAGATGTAGATTGTTGTACATGAAAAACGTACAACAAACGTCTCCTGAAAATAAGCCCTAATGCATTTTTTGGAGCAAAAGCTAATATAAGACCCTATCTTATTTTCGGGAAAACATGAGAAACTTTGGGAGGCTCCTTGGCATGTCCACTTATTTGTAAGCATATCTTGCTATATGACTGCATTTCAATGTCATGATGAACCCAAAATCTATGTACCTGCTAAAAAGTAGGAGTATCAAATAGAAAGCATCAGCACAGTACCTCTCCATGGAAATCTTTGGTGCCTGTAGATCTCTGGGTTACTGTGACACACTTGTGTAATTGCTATCTCAAAAAACCCCACAGGATGACTACAACTGGAAAGCTAACTGCTGTTGAGTGAAAAACAAACAATGCACAAATAGCAGAGCCCCCCCATTTCACATTTGTCCCCACTAGGATGATGAATTGTAAATACAATTTAAAAAAAATTATAGCACTGGTCTACCGTAACAAATGCATGATCTGAAACTGTTTGTGCCTTTTATTTTACTAGCTGCAATTTTAATTGCTATGTTTTCCGGCCCAAATATAATCCTTTCAAGAACACAAATGATGTGGCATTGAATGAAATGTAAACAACAACAACAAAGGAAACAAAGCAGTGTGCGGCTTTGTTGCTGTGTACTTCAGTTGTTGTTCACATGCCTATTCCCTATGGTACACTATCAAGACATATTAATAAACTGAGAGTGGTAAGAGGAAAACAGTGGGTGTGCACAAGGTATGTAGACCAGAAAAAAATAGAAGAATTTTACAAGTGAAACATTGAACTGGAACATAAGAGAAGAACAAGAAGGCATAAAGATTATAAGGATAGGGGAATGTAATGGAAGATAGTAGATTGGAATGGTTTAATTCAGAGGTTCATTTGAATGCCTTGTAAGAAAAACAAGAGTTAGGGGTTAGCCTCATTCTCACAGAACAAAGGCTGGTTTTGCAGAAGAGGGAAAAATGGCTGCAGGCCATTACACTGAAACACATAGTTCATGATAATCTGTGGTGCACATAAAATACGGCTAATTATGGGAAGCTGGTCATCTTATTCATGGCATAGATGTAAAGCAGACCTTAGGTTTTCGTTTCCATGGGAAAAATCTGATGTTTGTCTCTTCTTAAGAAGGCATTCAATTGTATGTAAACAGAATGTACAGCCTCTCAGCCTACAATTGTATGTAGAAATGTTGTAAATAAAGCTTGCTTGTTGTTTTGTACACATTATACTTAGCTGTTGGAAACATGCCGGTTTAGTGTCTGTTCTCAGTTATTCTCTGGAATTCCCAGGGTTCCCATAAGCTTCATGAAATGCAGAAGACTGATTTTAGCCATTTTACCTAGGGCTTGTCCATATCAATCATATTTTGAATTCTAAAAGTGGTGGTTAAGAATATTGCACATCCAGGCAAGGACAGTAATAGTGTTTAAGGATTTTAAGAATCCTATTCTTGATGCAGGGGGGAAGTCTACTTTTGTAAGTTCAAACATTATTTTAAAACTGTGTAGGGCAATATGCGCTGGATCGTTTGGCAGGCCACTTCAATGAACATTCTCAGAGACTAGAAAGCATGACTTCTGTATCCTTCCATTCTTTACCCTATTGTCTGCCCCATGGTTAACTAAAACACAAAATAAATAACAAAAACACGCATCATTGATGTCCTTCCAGAATATAAACTGCCTGTCTCACCCTTGTGCCCTGATACTGGAAGGTTCCTCTTTGTTTTTCTCACAATGTTCCAGATATTATCAGTCCAGGGCATTGCTGATGAAAAAATAATGACCCCTGTTTCAATTGCTCTGGCGTGTCATGCCATGTGCCATTTTGTTTTTCCAGCCTGTCCTGACTGGACACAGTATCCAGTTGATGAAAATAAAATAGCTTGGTTGATAAAAATAAAATAGCAGAAACTGTAAGGCAGCTATGCCATTTTCTCTCTCTTTTTTTCAGGAAGGAGGAGAGAGAAAGGAGAACCCATTAATCTGCTGCATTAAAAGATTGAACCTATGAAATAAGGAGGGGTTCACAAAGGAGGGCAGTTTCCCAAGCGGCTGTGTTTGTTAATCTCAGTTTGTTGATTTTTTTTAAAAAGAAAAGAAAAAAGCAGGAGTGGGTTAAAATATTGTGACACTTTAATGACTAAGTTTTAATTCACTATGAATTTTGGTGGCTCAAAATCCACTTCTTCAGGCATAAAGAATGCAAAAACTGTATCTTCCATATTTCTACATGTCTCTATGGTGATATGAATCATGGCCAGGTGAGGATACACATAATGTACACAGTGACAATGCTTTATTGACACAGGAATGGGACTATCAAGCTGTTAATTACATGAGGTTGCAGAACCTAGCCTGTGTGATAACTAATAAGCTATATGTTAGGTGGATTTGGCTGTCACATAAGTGCTAAGAGTTGTCAAAGGAGAGAACTATTTTATACCTGTAATGTACTAGAGAAATTGCAGGAAATAAACAACATGCGCAAGACAGCTCTCATCGACATGGAACTGAGTAGATTGGAGACGGACATTGTTGCCCTGCAAGAGATGAGATTGCCGGGCATGGGATCTGTCAAAGAAAAAGGGAAAAAAACTTCTCATTCTTCTGGCAGGGTAAACCATTGAATAAGACCAGGGAACTTGGTGTTGGCTTTGCAGTCAGAAATATTCTGCTGAGATCCATTTTTCCACCTACTGTGGGGAGTGAAAGAATCCTGTCTCTGCAGCTCCACTCATCAGTGGGACCAGTCACCCTGATTAGTGCATATTCACCAACACTTATCCACAACAGAAGTCAAAGACAAATTCTATGACGATCTAGCAGCTGCTATGAAAAAAATCCCTGAGAGAGAACCACTATTCATTCTTGGAGACCTTAATGCTATAGTTGGTGCCAATCACAATTCCTAGCCCACTTGTCTAGGCCATTTTGGCATTGGGAAGATAAGCGAAAATGGCCAATGCTTCCTGGAGTTTTACTGTTATTATGGTCTTTGTGTCAGCAATATGTTCTTTAATATGAAGCTTCAACACAGAGTTTCCTGGAGACATCCAAGATAGAACCATTGGCATCAGCTCGATTTGATCCACACTAGACGTTCTAACCTTCCTAATATTATGATCACACACAGTTACCAGAGTGCTGATTGTGATACTGATCACTCCCTGGTGTGTAGTAGAGTAAAACTGTAAGCAAAGAGATTGTATCACAGGAAAAAGGAAGGAAGATGACGTACTGACATCAACAAGACTCATGATCAGTACTGACACCAACAAGACTCATGATCAAAGAAATGTGGAGGAATTTGCCCAACCACTTGAGGAAACCCTTCCAGGCCCCACTGATGCATATGCACCTGAATGATTGAAACATTTGAAGAACGCTTTTTATAACACTGCCTTGTCCACATTTGGCAAGAAGACCAAAAAGACAGCAGACTGGTTCGAAGTCCATTTGGAGGAGTTGATGCCAGCCATCGAGGATAAGAGGAGAGCTCTAGCAGCATACAAAGCCTGTCCTAGTGAGTACAACTTGCAGGCTCTTTGATTTGCTCGTAGCAAAGTCCAACAGGCTGCCAGGAGATGTTCCAACGATTATTGGCTTCAGCTTTGCTCTCAGATACAGATAGCAATGGATACAGGTAACATCAAGGGAATGTATGACGGTATCAAGCAGGCTTTAGGTCCAATACAGAAGAAATCTGCTCCCTTAAAGTCTGCTACAGGCATGACCATCCAGGACGGAGCATAGCAGATGGACCACAGGGTGCAGTATTACTTTGAGCTATATTCCAGAGAGAATGTAGAAGAGACACTAAATAACATTGAGTGCCTGCCTGTGTTGGAAGAGTTGAACAGTGAACCAAATTTAGCAGAAATAAAAGCGGCCTTGGATTCCCTCACCTCCGGCAAGGCACCTGGGAAGGATAACATCCCTGCTAAGGTGCTATATAGAGATCATCACCACTGAGCTGTATGAAAACTTTTGTCTTTACTAGAGAGGAGTACCACAGGACATGAAGGATGCAAACATCATCACATTGTATAAAAACAAAGGAGAGAGGGGCGACTGCAATAACTATCATGACATCTTTCTTCTCAGCATTGTAGGGAAGCTGCTTGCCTGTGTTGTGCTGAAGAGAGTCCAGGTGCTTGCAGACAGAGTCTATCCAGAATCACAGTGTGGATTTCAAGCTAATAGATCCACCACTGACATGGTATTCTCCCTCAGACAGTTGCAGGAGAAATGTAGGGAACAATGACAGCCACTCTTTGTGGCCTTCATAGATCTCACAAAGGCCTTTGATTTGGTTAGCAGGGACGGCCTTTTTAAAATGCTTCCCAATATTGGATGCCCACCTCAGCTCCTTAACATCATCAGGTCCTTTCATGAGGAAATGAAGGGCACTGTAGTTTTTGATGGCTCAACATCAGATCCCTTTGTCATCAGAAGCAGAGTGAGACAGGGCTGTGTCCTTGAGCCAACCCTGTTTTTTCTTTTCTTTTTCTTTTGCTATCATGCTGAAGCATGCCTTTGCCCTCCCAGCGAGTGGCCATTGAACATATCTGTGATTGTGGGTAGAGGGAGATATGGCGTTGGCACAGCCCCCACTTGTGTTAGAAGAATGATGAACAGATGTTCTTGGACTGTGATCAAGTGTCAGTATCGAGGTAG